ATTTTTCATTTGCCTTGCTACTTTGGTTGGTTGTTGCTACTTGATGCTACATGCATGTTATGCTCGTAAGATACCTTGTATGATCATGTGTTTTATCATACCATGCTTAATGTGTGCTCTTGCATGTCTATCTCTATGAATGTTTGTGTTTGATCAATCACTTGTATATTTGGTGATGAGTGCATGATATTATACTCTTATCATTGTTTGTGCTCCACCAAGATGTATGTGACGTGGAAGAGTGACCCATCATCCGAATCGATTGTGCATTTGCATTCGAACGCAAATTTTAAATAATGCACACATTTAGGGGGAGCTCTTGCTTATCAAATACTTCTCAAAGCGACGATGTATTTTATTCAGTTTATCATATGTCGATACTTTGATTTATATGTTGTCATCAATTACCAAAAAGGGGAAGATTGAAAGTGCAACTAATCCCTGGATGGTTTTGGTAATTCATAATAACATATAGCTCATTGAAGTAATATCCTTTCAAGATTAATATTTCAGGAAGTTCAATGAATGGCATGGCATGGACTAGAGATGTGGACCCCTCAAAATGCTAAGGACACATATTGGCAAAAACTCAAGACTCTCCATTTCTATTTTAGTGATCCAAGATCACACTGAGTTCATAGGAAAGCCAATACTATTAAAATGGGATGAGGTGTTGCTTAATGGCTTGTTTGCTCAAATGCTTAGTGATATTGCTACAAATACCCTCAACCACTTTCTCCATCCAAATATGTCAAAATCCTAAACTCCAACCCGGACACACCAATTTTTTCTACCCGGCGCCACCGAGTTCATATGACATAGCCACTGCCAGAAACCCTAACAGTTCGATCTCACTGATACGAGTCTCGGTCTCACTGAGGTGGCCTTACCAATGCTCTGTGACTTGTTGCATTTATTTCAGTCTCACTGAGTTATGCAATCGGTCTCACCGAGTTGGCTTGACATTCTCTTTGTTGCCTTATTGCTTCACTTCGGTCTCACCGAGTTGATGCAATCAGTGTCACCGAGTTGATGTTTGCGCTAAGCCCTAGCACATCGGTCCCACCGAGTTGTTCCTATCGGTCCCACCAAGATTCCTAGCGTTCACATTTTGAACAGATCGGTCTCATCGAGTTCATCTATTTGGTCTGACTGAGTTGGGTCAAATGTGTGTAACAGTTGGATTTTGTGTGGAGGCTACATATACCCCTCCACCCCTTCTCCATTTGTGAGAGAGCCATCAAAACGTGTCTACACTTCCAGCATACATTTTTTGAGAGTGAACCACCTACTCTTGTGTTGAGATCAAGATATTCCAATCCTACCACAAGATTCTTGATTTCTAGCCTTCCCCAAGTTGCTTTCCACTCAAATCATCTTTCCACCATATCCAAATATGTGAGAGAGAGCTGAGTGTTGGGGAGACTATCATTTGAAGCACAAGTTGAAGGAGTTCATCATCAACACAACATCTATTATCTTTTGGAGAGTGGTGTCTCCTAGATTGGTTAGGTGTCGCTTGACAGCCTCCGTCAAGTTGTGGAGTTGAAGCAAGAAGTTTGTAAGGGAAAGGAAATCTCCTAATTCATGAAGATCTACCCGAGTGAGGCAATAGTCCTTCATGGACGATGGCCATGGTGGGATAGACAAGGTTGCTTCTTCATGAACCCTTCGTGGGTGGAGCCCTCTGTAGACTCGCGCAACTGTTACCCTTCATGGGTTGAAGTCTCCATCAACGTGGACGTATGATAGCACCACCTATCGGAACCACGCCAAAAATCTTCGTGTCTCCATTGTGTTTGCATTCTCCGAACCCTTCCCTTTACCTTCATATGCAATGTTCTACTTTCCGCTACTACGCTCTTAGAATTGCATGTGTAGGTTGATTGCTTGACCTGTGCTAATTGTTAAAATCTGCCCAAAACTAAAATTGGGAAAAGGTTAGATTTTCATTTGGTCAAGTAGTCTCATCCCCTCCCCCCCCTCTATACATACTTTTGATCCTACAATCACCATCTTCATCAACTTCCTCGCCTCTTTTCAGCGGTCCACTCTTCCGCATCCTACTGTAATCCCCTACTTGAACATGGTGATTTATGCCACATTATGATCCAATGATGTGTTGCCATCCTATATTGTTTTGAGTAGATTTATTTTGTCTTTTGGGTTGATTGATGATCTAGATTGATTTGAGTTGTATGCTTTATATTGGTGTTGTCCTAGGGTACCTACCATGCCGCACACATGTGAAGGATTCCCATTGTTGGGTGTTGTCATACGTTCATGATTCGCTTATAGTGGGTTGCTAGAGTGGCGGAAGTTTAAACCCAAGTAAGGGGGTTGTTGCATATGGGAGTAAAGAGGACATGATACTTTAATGTTATGGTCGGGTTTTGCCTTAATGATCTCTAGTAGTTGCAAATGCTTTCTAGAGTTCCAATCATAAGTGCATATAATCCAAGTAGAGAAAGTATGTTAGCTTATGTCTCTCCCTCATACAAAATTGCAATAATGATTACTGATCTTGTTAACAATTGCCTAGGACAGTTCCGCAAACCGATCCATCATTATTCCACACTCGCTATTTGTAATATATTGTGATATACTCTAACTCTATGTTAACAACACCTATTTTTATATTTCAGTTCTCCGATATTATGCAAAGCTATCATCTTCATACCCACAACCCAGTTTTATTTCCCGTTGGAAGCAAACGTTCGGTGTACATAGAGTCGAATCAGTGGTAGATAGGACTTGAGAGAATATTGATCTTACCTTTAGCTCCTTGTGGGTTTGACACTCCATACTTATCACTTCCACCTTTAAAAATTGCTACGATGATTCCTTGCACTTGGGGTTATGACCCGTCACCGACATTGCAGCATGACAGCCTAGGAGGCGACGGGCACTGCAAGCCCGCCCATGGACGCTGGTGCAAGGGGATCACCCGCGCTGCAATGGGGTCGCACGGAGGTGCTGCAAGGAGCGGAGGGTCGCGCGGCGGCGCAGCAATGGAGCGCTCGCCGGAGGCTCTCGGTGCCCGGTGCTCTTATGCAACCTCAGTGCTGCGATGGAGCTTCGCCAGTGGCTCCCAGTGCAGTAATGAAGTGCTCGCTGGTGGCCCAGAGCTGTCATGAAACCTCAATGCTGCAATGCAGTTTTGCCGGCGGCTTCCGATGCTGGGATGCAGCGCTCGGCGGCGGCCCCTACAATATAGCTTCGTTGGCGGCTCCGGCCTGGTGCTGCAGTGCAAAGCTCATCGGCGGCGGCCGTGATGCTTGCAGCGATGACGCTTCCGGTGCTGCTGGAAATGATGTGCAGGCCGCGGACGTTGCTATGGCCAGAGGAGATCGAAGCGGGCGTCCTGATGCAATGCGGAGAAAGTCATGGCCTGCGTTGACCAAATCCAACGGTTTTCAAGAAAAATCAGTCGGGTGGTTTGTAGCAGCTGCCAAGACCGAAAGAGCCTCTAGTTGCCTATCTACTTCCATGCCTTTTTTAGATAAGTCTACTTCGATGCAGCGATGCCTATGGCTTCTTTCGTTATAGTAGTTATCCTCCCCCAGCAGGGCTCACACACTCGTACTTTTCACTTGGTACATTCATTGCCCATGACTCGCATTGGCCATGGTCTTCCTCTTGGGTTTCTTTGTCGATGCATTGATGGAGGTGGCGTCC